GCAGCTTCTTTGTTTTCTCCAGAACGCCGTCACATTTGGTTTTTTCCTTCCGACTGTTGCAATGCAGGAAATTCCCTGAAGTGGACGTTCACGCTGAGCTGGAGGAAAGTTAAAGGCAACAGAAAGCCGCTGAGAGGACGAAGCGTGTGCAGAGCGAACACACCTCTCTGTGATTTGCCTTTCCCAGCCGGACCCACAGGTTCAGGCATGTTGTCAACTAGCGTCTTGAGTATGCAAATCAGAGAGCACTTATAGAGAGCCTTTTTGTTTCCTTGAAGGCTGCGTATAGACAAAAACCTTGTTTCAGCAGGAACAGGCCTGACAGCATTTCACACCCAACTTCTGTTTTAGACGCTTGTTCTCTGACTCTTCGCTCAACACTCGGGGAATCTCTGACACCTGTCATCGTGTCACAGGTGAAATACCCTGTTGGTAATTATTCCTCGTTGTGCATGCTCCGATACGATTTGACTGAAAGCACGAGTCACGGCTGAAGTGGTGCAGATCGAAAACAGTGTAAGTCACGAAGCTGCTGCTAAACTAAACAAACACTGAAGCAGAAACTATCCGTCTGATTTATGTCCAAACTTCTAATGAGTCACAATCCAAACAGTTTGGGAGCCAGTCAGAAGATACGTTCAGGTTACTTCAGCTTCGATTTCCTCTGCAGGTTCTTCAGATTTAACGGGTTCTGGTTGTTCTTACCTTTACCTTTATTGCTTTGTAGTTGTTTGTAAGAGTTTTTTTTGTTTGTTTGTTTTTGAAGAAATACTCAGAGATTCACTTGGTGGATTTAAACTCTGGACTGTTGGCTCTGACAGATCGAGCTGAACGGCTGAACTGACGCTAACGGCGTCTAGCGTGCAACACTTTAGCTTCACTTTTTCACAGCGTGACGAGGCGGCGACGCGTCCTTTATTTTTTATATGCAAATGATGTGAATCAAACAAACAGTTGGCTACAAACCTGCATGTTCAGGAACTAACCTTCTGAACCGCAAAACCCGGCAGTGGGTTTAAAAAGTCCTGTCAGATTAAAATAAATCAGCTGAACACCAACATTTATCAGAAACTGTAAAAAAAAGAAAGAATCGTCTTGTGTGACATGTAGTCCTGTCTGTTTTGTTTTTAATACAACTTTCTCTTCAGCTGAACTCAGGTTTTTTTGTTTTTTTCAAATGTACCGTAAAAATAAACTGGATTTGATTTTGAAATTTCATGAAAATAAATTTAAAAAAAATAAAATCTCTAACTCTCAAACCAGATTTAGTAAAAATCAAAAAATTCTGCTCTCCTCGCCGTAACCTGGAAGGCATGAATCACTCGGCTGCGACCGACAGTCACAGGGGAACAATTCAGGGAGTTTTCGGCCGAACTGCAGGAAACAAGGTGAAGGTTTAATATTTCAAACAGGTGAATTTTATTTATTTAAGTATTGGTAACATCTGTGAGTGAAAGTGCTGGGTATGTTGATTCCAGTTTTTATCATCTTTTTTTGTAAAATAGGTAAATTTTATTTTAATATATTAAATTTAAAACAAGGCCAAGTACAAAAAGAGACTGTTTGGTGTTATGAAGTAATCAAGCTAGTTTACATGTTGAGGTTAAGACCTGAAGGGTTATTTATGGTGTAAATTTACTTTTTAAGGATTGAAACTCTACAAAAGTGATATAAAATAAAAATAAAAAACTGACTGTATTACATATTAATGCAGAGACTTCACAGTGTTATCAGTTAAAGGGAATAATTTAACTGATTTAGGGCTATTTTTGAATAAAAATAAAGATGAAAACCCAACAAACAAAGGATCCCCTATGAGCAAACCTTCATTTTTATATGTATTCAAAGTGAGTTTTAGTGTTTGTGACTATGCCGTACTGTGTAAACAGCGTTCAGCTTGTTAACTGAGATAATAATCGTTGTCTTAGTCAATAAATTACATAATCGTTCTCAGCTGGTTTTACTATCAGAGGCTGAATCTTCAGGTTCAGCATGTTTGTTTTGCTGTCGACTGTATTGCTAAGAGCCGGAACATCACAGATTCCGGGTTTGAACACAGGACGTTTCCTCATTGGTTTTTCCTGGTTTGTTCCTTCAGTCACGGGAACAAGGAGGTGTTCTCCTGCCTGGGGATCCAGCTGGCGGTCAACTTCTTCCTGGACCGAGGCCACGACGACATCACCGTGTTTGTTCCGTCGTGGAGGAAGGAGCAGCCGCGACCCGACGTTCCCATCACAGGTACCAGACGGAGAGCTCTACTTCCTCCTTCTCACTGATACCTGAAGGCAAGGTGTGGCTGCTGGGGCGGCGGGAGGGGTTTACTGGGCGAGACTGGAAGTACGACTACGATTAATAAGAAAACCTTTTCAAGCAAAACTGAAAAGAAATTAAATTTTATTCCATTAAACAAAACAATAAACTGTGTCAGCACATATTCTGGTGTGTTCCAGAGGGACGTCCTCTGTTTTTAGGTCATTAATAGAGATCAAACCAGTCATGAAATGTTTTCTAGTTCCTCTTCGGGCATCGTGAGGTTTCACCAGAAACTTCTGGAGGCAGCGCTGAACTTATTTGTTGTTTTTGCAAAGTGGAGAAAATGACAGTTGCATTGATTTTAAACTGAATATCTGTGTTTAAACTGTAAAACAAGACATTTAAATCCATCAGCTCATGTTGTGGCAGGTTTTAGGAGGTTTTTACTTGTTTTTCATCATTTATTGATAAAATAATCAAACGTTTTTGGTTCCTCCTCGGTCTGGCTTTGTGGACGATGCTGTGAGGTTTTATTGGGGCATTTTCAAACTAATTATGCTTCAATTTAATAAAAGAAAACGAACACATATTAGATATTTTTTAAGCAAAGATGAAAAACATAGTTTGTTTGGTTTTAACTCTATATTTTTGTGTTTTAAACTGTAAAACAGACGTCCAAACAGGTTGTCTTGTGTTTTTAGGGCATTTTTACTTGTTTTTTTTTAGATTTTCCAGAAATAAAACAAGTAATCCTTCAATGTAATTTAAACTAAACGATTAATGGACAAACTAATTGACAGAATCTGGATCCTTGTTCAAAGTGGTTTTAATTCTTTCTTTCAACTTGAATAAAGACGCAAAAGCAGCTCCATGAAACGAGCAGGATGTTGTTTGGTGCGATTAAACTGCTGATTCTGTGAGTTTAGCTCTGAAAAGGGGAAATACAACCACGTAGGGCTGCTTGTTTTCCAAACGCTAACCAAAGATCTTAATCTGAGTCTGTGTCGCTGCAGCTCAGAAGACAGAACTGCGGGGTTTTCCGTTGGCTTTTTGAAACCAAAGATAATCTTTTTACTGTCAGTCGGCCCACGTTGGAACTCCTGCATGTGCAGATGAGCAGATTGTTGGTGCTGATAAATAGTTTTGTTACAGAATGGTTTCTTTTTTTAGGCCCTTAGTTAATAATCGACCAGGTGACTCCGTCTGCCGGGAAAAACCCAAAATAAAACGCTACCGTGGCATCCGTGTGATGTGCTGGAGTTATTTAAAGCAGCAATGTTTTCTTTACAGTGATGTATGAACTAAAGACGTGACAGTGTTTGGAAATATTCATGAGCCTGAAGAGAAGCAGATTTATATGAAATTCCAGCTTATCGTTTCGATCTCTGCAGCTTCAGTGTTTTAAGTCACTCACTGCTCTCATAGCGTCATTTCTGGCTCTAAAATACACCAACTGTAACGATCTGCTCTTTAAAAGTTGGTGAAATGTCGACCGAGGACTATTTTAAGAAGCAAATATGGATCCATCCATAGAGAGACACTGACAGGAACTTTCTGGGCGTCAACACCACCTACATGGAAAATGTTTGTACTTTTGTCCATTTTCAAGAACCAATCAATAAAAAATGTGTCCCCTGCTGGATCCATTCAATCATTTGGATCCTCTAGAAACCATCCCGTCTGTGTTCTCACCAAATCTCACGGCTGTTTTGTTTCTGGGTGTGTTAAAGATTTGAAATGGGTTCCCAGGTGAGATGCTTTTGTAAAGCAAAGAAGCCATTTTATGGGTTCAGTATCTTCAGAACTTTAACTCCCACGACCGTGAACTTTGGTGAAAACACAAAACAAAACTGTTTCCAGCAGATTTAAATGAGTGAATGGCTTCAGAAGAGGAGATATTTTAAATCATTGGCCCTTGAAAATGGAAAAGTAAAAGTAAAACACTTTCTAGTGTAGGTGGTGTTGTGTCTCCATAAAGTTCCAGTCAGAGTCTGTCTATGGGTGGATCCATGGTTCTACTAGAACCCAGTCTCTGGTCACATCTCACCATCTGTTGAGGCTCTAACGTCAGTAGAAGCTGATGTGATGTATTTCTTGAGATATTTAATCCTTAAAATGACTTTCAAGGTGAGATCATGGTAGAAATTCGACCACAATATTTTACAGAATCTACTTTTGGTCCCAAATAACACATCAGTGAACTGAACAGACTCTGCAGCAGCACCGTGATGTGAGACGACACAAACTGACCCTCCACTGATGGTGTGTTTTGCAGATCAGCACATTCTGCTGGACCTGGAGAAGAAGAAGATTCTGGTTTTTACTCCGTCGCGACGCTTCGCAGGAAAACGTGTCGTCTGCAACGACGACTGCTTCATCGTGAAGCACGCCTTCGAGTCCGACGGCATCATCGTGTCCAACGACATGTACCGAGACCTGCAGGGAACCAAGCCGGAGTGGAAGCGCTTCATCGAGGAGCGGCTGCTCATGTACTCCTTCGTCAACAACAAGTCAGTTCTGCCGCTCGGCGCTGCGTCGCAGCTTCAATCATGAATGAACGCACGAATGTTGAATGACTCAGAGGAAGTGTGAGGTTGTTAAGTTCTGTCTGTTTGAAACCGATGCAGGTTCATGCCTCCTGATGATCCTCTGGGCCGATATGGACCGACGCTGGAGAACTTCCTGAGGAAGTTCCCAAAGACTCAGAAGAAGCAGCAGTGCCCTTATGGTGAGAGAACGTCTACAAAACACCGCCGATCCGGTCCGACACCAGTTTTCCACGAGAAATGACACAAATGCAAACGTACAGCTCTGAGCAAACGTTTCAGGCGCTTCAGATTGTTTCGTTTAGATTCTTGTCCATCACGCAGCAGCATCAGGGATCTCTGCTGCACGACAGTCAGAGTTCAACCTCTGGACAGGCAGGAGTTTGTGGCTGTCGTGGTTTTACTCATGTGGCTTATTGTCAGTGCAAAGTAAAGTTTAGCTTTTATTGCTTTTATCCTGTGAAGCGTCTTTGAGTTCTTGCAAAGCGCGATATAAATAAAATGAATTATTATTATTATTATTATTATTATTATTATTAATAAAGTCTTACACCACAACAACCACGAAGGAGAGAACTCAGAGATGCGAATGACAGAAACCTTAAAAAAATAGCAGAATTTCTGAGATTATTTATTTTACAAAAAAAATGAAACCCTGGAATCAACATGTTCAGCGTTTCTTAAACAGTTTCCGTCCTGCTGTGTATGAACACATCCTGCAGTTCAGCCGAGCACTCTTGGATCTTCTGTCACGTAGCTGTTGGTCACAGCTGAGTCACTGATAGCTTCATGGTTGCATGTTTTTGTTTTGTTGTTGTTTTTATTTACAGAACCTGGTTGTTGTAAATTGGCATTTTTTAAAAACGGTTCATGTAAACAGGAAGTGACGTCCTGATCAGATTTGAGAACTTGAAGGATGAACTGTGAAGTTAAAAATCCGATGATTCCTCCAGTTTTTGCAGCTTCTTGCTCTGATAAATGTTGCCATGTTTTATTTCTGTAAACACGCCTCAAACCCGCCGGCGGCTACGACAACAACCTACAGTCTCCAGTGTCGATTATCATGCAGCCAGTTTGTGGTTTCAAATCAGATTTTCAGTTGCCTTTTTCAGGGAGTGTTCTGCTTGTCTTAACTGTGCACGAGAAAACACCATTAATATGTCGTCGCGGCTCTGCTGACGTGTTGCTTCCAGTGAGCTGTTGCCCAACCCTGCAGTTGGCTGTGACACCATAAATGGTGCATCGTGCCAACACAACACAGCCAGATGTTTTATCGCCTACTGTGTGAAAGTGCTGCTGCGGTTTTGAACCGAAAGTGACAAAATGTTCTGTTCCCTTCTTTCAGGGAAGAAATGCACTTACGGCATCAAATGTAAATTCCACCATCCCGAACGCGCCAAACAGTCGAACCGCTCGGTGGCCGACGAGCTTCGGGAGAACGCCAAGAACCCGTGTGCGGCCCAGAAAGCGGGCCCGGCTCGCTGCAGCCCGGATCCCGGTCAGAGCCTGCTGCTGGTGGAGGACATGGCCAAGAAGCTGACTCTGGGACACGAGAGCGCCTCCTTAAAGAAAGACCATAAGAACAAGCACCCGGTGAAGTCGGGTCACCGCTCCAGCAAGAGAGCGTCGACCCGGAAGGCGATCCAGCCGTCCGACTCGGCGCGACACGGAGGCTCTCAGGAACAGCTGGACTCGGGCCTGGGCTCCATCGACAGTCAGCCGTTGGAGGCCCAGTGGACGTACGGCAGCTGTCAGCAGAACCACGGCGTCCGGCAGCAGTTCTGCCCTCCGAGAAGCTCGTCGTGCAGCTGCTGCTCTCGAGGCACCACGCCGGCCTTCCAGCACCACAGCGTCGGACCCGTGAGCTGCCACAGCGCCGACATGTTGCCCTTCGGCCCGCCGCCCTACCCCTGCTACGGCGCCTACCCGCTCAGCGTCCCTGCGTACAACCAGCAGCCCGACTTCCAGCACAGCCGAGTCCACCCGCAGCAGCCGTTCTGGTCCGACCCGTTCGGCGCTCATCCTCGGCACTGGGACCCTCCACCTCACCCTCCTCCGCCGTCGGGGAAACAGCCGAGCAGCGAGGAGCGAGAAGTCGTCCGGAAGAAGCTGCTCGCCATCTTCAGCGCCCAGCTGGTGGACGCCGCCATGGACATGTTCCCTCAGCTGATGGATCCGCAGAAGCTGGTGGCCGAGATCCTCATGTTGCAGAGTCAGAACCGCTCGCTGAGATGAGACGGTTCCGAACCTCGTCTTTCAGTGCAAAGACTGGAGATAAGCATGAGTTTGTGTATTTGTGTATTGTGGTATCCACTTTGCTATGAACTGTCCGATCCCTCTGGAGTTGCCTCGGCCAGATGTTCAGGTCGAGGCAGTTACTGTTGATACAAATTGTATCTTTATTTAAAAGTGTAAAAGGAAAAACTGGATTTTTGTGCAACTTAATGAGATTCTGTTCAGGTCCAATCAGCATCCCCTTTATTAGGTACACCATCAGTCCATCGTAGCTCAGTTTGTCTTCACGCTGGGATGTTTCTCATCATTTCAGTGACAGACTTCCACCAAAATCTGAACAATGTGAGCTCCGTGTTGGACTGCATTGAATCCTGTACCTAATAAAACGGCCACTTGTACAGTGCAGATGAGATGAATGTTGAATGTAAATATGTCTGTTTGTGTCATATTGGCACTGAGGAACATTTATGCTTTGGTTTGGGCAGCAATTCACTCAATAAAACAAAATCTGTAAGTAAAAGTCAAGTCGTTGTGTTTTCTTCATGCAGATGTGGCGCCAAAGTGATTTCCATAAAAATAAAAAAAATAAAAGAATAATAAAAATACTAGAAGACTTCTGAATGAAATTTTGAGTTTCCTGCTATAATTATACATAAGTGCATTCTATTTTGAAAAGCCAGCCGTTTCACAAACCCTGATCAGTCACTTTTAGCATTGTTGAGCTTTTATTTTGAAGGCGCATCA